TTGCAAAATTTTTTTCATGTCAAGGTGAAAACAGATTGCTTCAAAGTAACGCCAGTTACTGAAGAAATATAAAATAAGTGACTGCTAGTTAGTTTTCAAGCCCCTTTAGGTCAGTGTTTGGTAGATGCACCTTTGACTGTAGTTGCAGCACTGAGCTCCTGTGGATAGGTCTTCAATCAGCCTTGCACATCTGGGTGCTCCAATTTTACTCCATTCTTCTTGGCAAAAGGTTGCACAGGGATCACGAGTAAACAGTCTTGCCACAAATTCACAACTGGATTGAGGTCTGGGCTCTGACTCGGCCTCTTCACAACATTCACCTTGTTGTCTTTAAACCATTTCCGTGGCGTTTGGTTATTGTTCCCCAAGTTGCAGTTTTGTTTCTAGATTGTTCTCTAATACTTCCTTTTGCTTTGCTGCATTCATTTTATCCTCTACAGAAACATCCCCACATAAACACAGTCTTCATTTCCGTTTATCCAGTGTAATGTTATCTGATGTACTTTGGGCGAGGGATCAAGGTGGTTTGTCACATATGCAACATGGAGATATGCAGCCACACCTACAAAAACACCAGTCCATAAATGACCTACATTGATAGCTTCCCTACAAAGGACATTAGATGGCAGTATGACAGTAGGAGAAACATCTTCCACAGGACTTCATCTGTGGCTGCCATTTGTCTCAACTGTGTCCATATTTTTTTTAGGATGCTTGAATGTCATCGCAAAGCCTTCTGAATCAAAGCAGATAGCTGCTTTTAATGATCAGAAAAGAAAAAGAGCAATAACTTAAACTTTTCTTATTTACTGGGCCCATTTTTTAGCAAGTTCCCAAGGCAAGGCAAGTTTGTTTTGTTATTTACTTTCAGCAAAATGACAGTTTCAATGTGTTGTAGAAGACTAAAAAGCTCTAAGAAAAGATTTAAAAGAAGGATGCATAAACAGGGTTTCACAAGCAAAGCAAATAGTATTTAATTTCACTTAGTTCAGAAGTAACTCCTGTATATACTGGGTTGTAACTGGGTTGATTTTAATGGCAGTCTTGTGAGGGAGGGGTGCACATTTTATGGTCCATTGGTGTGTTGGCTCTTTTGCATTTGATGAATCTACAACAACACTTTGGTCCGGTTTGATGTCACACTTTGCGTCCGCTGTGAACCAGGATGTCACAGCTGTATCAACACTGAGGATAGTTTACCCAGACCGTGATCATTTTTACAAGTTTGTTGAACTGAGCCATTCCCTTATGTCAAATACAGACTTGATATCATATGTCATTGTGTTTGCAGTACAGTATCGCTGGCCATCAAATCCCTCATGTGACTACGATGTCTTCAGTTAGGATTCTCATTTTCATTCGTGACTAATTTGAGGGTTCTTTTCTGAATGTATACATTTATTTTCTATGTTAATATCTAAAATATCAGAAAGGATGTCTTGAAATCAGTTGTTTTGTCTGATCAACAAAGCCCAACGATATATTTACATCTGCTATCTATACAGCTGAACTGGTGAAACACGGTAGTACTTGAGTTTTTCTTTGGAAAATATCTTAATCAATCATACACATTTTTGACATTTTTTTTGTTGAACAGCTATTGATTTGATTAACTAATAGCTTCAGCTGCATTTAGTGTTTTACGGAGGAATGATTTTCCTCAGGGAAATCATAAAATAGGAATATGAGGTCTATCAAAGAAATTTAGCCAAATCCAGCATTGAGTTCAGCAGAAGCAGTCACACAGAGTTAGGAGGGATGCTTTCAAAAGTAAGGCCATGGATAGCTTTTGTTTCATATTAACTTAATTGTTCCTCTTGTAGCTGAAGTATGTTCTCTGTGATTGTAGATATATTTTGGGGTTTGATGGATGAGCTTTGCAGTGTACTACATTTGTGTTTGAATTGATTCAAACTGTTGTAACTCAGTAGGAAAAGGACAGTAGCCCTCTAAAGAAAGTCACATTGAAATGAGCATAGTCAAAGAGCTTTCTTCAAAGGGATTGTAAAGCTTTAGGGCTGGACTTATAATTGTGTAACGTGACTGACTGACTGAGGCCCAGCAGGAAGAATTTCCCTCCAGACGTGAAAACAGTCTTCTTGCTTTGAAGGGCTGCAGGGCAGGATTTTTTTTTTTTGGGAGTTCTCATTACAATGAATGTGATGAACATTTAGGCTTTCTGTTTTAGTAGATATCTTAATTCATAGTTCATGTGACAGCTACAATTCATTTTAATCAATTTTGCGTCTGTTTGGAGTCTTCCACTTTGCCTTATTTATTTTATTTTTAAAATTAATTTCCCTAAAATGCCACTGTTTGTGAAAGCTGCCTTGAACTCTTTAGATAAATTGAGGACAGCAAAACCCTGTAGGTCCCTGAACTTCTTAGACAAATAGAGAGCTGTTGTGAGCCAATGAACACGCCTGTGGATCAGACGTGGCAGACTGCTGGAGGCTGTATCATTTTATGGCTTTGTTTTAATTTGAACTCTGACCACAGGCAGGTTCCATCAAAGCAGGTGATTTATGGTTGCTCAGAACCATGGGTTGTCTGACCAATGAGGTAAAAGCATGCAGATGTTGCAATGTCTTAGGAGAGGGAAGATGAGACTGAAGGTCTTTGAAGGTTTGTGTGTGTCTGTTGGTAGGGTTGTGTAGGTCTGAGCAGAGACTGTGATATTAGCTGTGATGATTAACACAGCTTAAGCGATGGCTGTGCAGTCTCTCCATAAAAGTGTATGGTCAAGAATCTTTTATTACCTTCGGCACATGCCAACTGTTTCCCTCAGGTTGTAAAAAAGGTTTAAACAAGCCGAGAGCTGCACTTCTGTTCACGCACTAATGAGCAATGACGCATTTCAATAGCCGGGCCACAGCTTTAGGAAGTTTAAGCAAATTAGCTCAGTGACGTATCAAACATGCAGCTGCTTTAAATCCTCTCTGTAATTTTTTCTTAACAAAAACGGAAATCCATCGGCTGTGCTTTGTTTGTAAAAACTCTGGGGCTGCTTTACTGGTCAGAGTTAACCAGACCAGAGCTAGAGGTAGAGTGGTAAGAAGAAAGGCTGGGGACTCGCCATGTATGTGAATGAGAGATGGTGTAATGCTAGCACGTTAGCATTAAAGAGCGGCACTGCACGAAGGATGTTGATGGTGGTTAGGGAGTTCTCGCACGTCCTGCCGATTACAGTTTTACATCCCCCCCCTCGGCTGATGCTGCTGCGGCCCGCGAACTCATCCATAGCTCAGTGTCCCAGCTGCAAACATCACATCCTCAGTCTCTGATGGTCATCTCAGGAGACTTTAATCATACATCGCTCTCTACCACTCTCGTCACATTGAGCCAGCGTGTGGACTGCCCAACCGGAGACGGTGGGGCCTTGGACCTGCTGTGTGTGGACACCTGGGATGCATATTACTTAATTATTATTTTCTTGTACTTTCTATATTTCTGGATGCTGCTGTGGCGTGTAAATTTCCCCAGTGGGGGATCTATAAAAAAGTATTCTATTCTCTTCTATTGTGATTGTCAGCCACAAACTACAAGGAATGCGTTGTGTTTGTGGCAGATCTTGCTAGAATATTAGTAGCAATTGCACCCATCCTATATACCCAGAAAAGGCTCAATGCATATCAGCACTGCAGGAAACTCTAGCATACCGACGCTATATGAAGTGTTCACTGCCCCACCCTGAAAGAGCTTGAAACTTCAGAAAATACTACCCACTCAGCAGGGACTTTCTGAAGGATAAGGTTGTCTTTCTGAAACTTTTCATTTTGAGCATGATTGCTTTTTTGGAAAAGAATGTGGGCCAGCTGAGTTCCTTAAAAGGTTTTTGTTCCCTGTCGGGTGTAAATGCACTTTTAGCATCATTATAGGACAGAGCAAAAATAAATAAATAAACTAAGTAGACGTTTGCTACCTTTACAGTAACTCACATTAAGTTCTAGGGTTAATGTGTAATTGATTACAGCCCTCTTAAAAGTTTATCAGTGGTGCTGTCTAATGATGCAAGCACACATGATAAGTAACATATAAACAACTCAGTCACTTTCCTTTTGAAACCAGTGCAGAGATGTCACCTGCACAGGATTACAAATTACACAACTGAAAGTACAACCGGTTGTCATCCACAGGTGTGTCTGTGCAGAGGGTACAGAATGTCTTAGAAGTAATGATGATAATTAATGTCTGGGATGGTACTGTCACACCCAGATTGGGGAAACTGAAAGTACACTGTGTATCGTCTGTTGGTGTAATTGGGGCAGCCTGCCTTGTCTACAAATGCCCTTGTTGTTCAGACTGTCTTAATGAAACACTCACCCGTCATCCTCTGCAAGCCGTTAACTACGGTTGGACAGTATCTTTTTTTTTTATTTTTTCCTCTCTCTCCCTTTTTCAAACCATAGTAACTTCCCAGTATCGATTGCTCGAGTTGTAAAATTCTCTCTGGCCTGTGTGCGCGTGTGGCGTGATAAGCCTTCAAAGTCGTCGGTCTCTTTTTAAAACCTGACTTCCTCTTTCCTGTTTTGATCGTCTCACCTGGGGCTGACGTGACGTTGACAGTGTAACCCCTTACATTTTCGTCACACAGGGATATTTTAGGTGCATCAATTCAGTGCTTCACAGAAAACACTGTTTTGCAATCAATGTTGTTTAGTCTGTTGCGTGAGTTTCATCAGAGCTTGAGCTTAATTCATCTTTAAGTGTGTCGCAGTATTGCCAAAGCAACATTGTTACTTCCACAGTCCTTCTGATTGTCTTGGTATGATTTTCTGGATCTCTCTGTGTGGCATGAGACACATGAAAACAGTGTGTAATTGTGTAGAAACTGTAGAGATACTCCCCTTTTGCTGTGCGTCTATAAAGATGGCACATGCTCCTTCTTCCGTCCGCTCAACCAATCATGGGCTCCAATCCAATCCGAGCCAACCCCCGTTCTCTCACAGTCCCTCCCCCACCTCTATGTCTGTGTCACCCTACCTCTCCCTCTCTTCCTTTCGCCTTCTGCCGTATGCTGGCTCGTACATGCCCTCCCTCCGTTGCTCAGTGCGGCTGGAAATTTTAAAAAAAGACAAAAATAAATAAAAGGATTTGCAAAACAGCAGAGGGGTGATTTTTAGCCAGGATCACAGAGTTGTAGGATGGAAAATCATCCGGGTTCTTTGTGCATTAACCCTCATGTGAGTCAGATGGCTTTTTTTTTGTTTTTTTTTTTAAATATTTCGTTGCTTGCTCATATTTGTTGTCATTGCCTTCTAATCCTTTCTGTCTTTCTCCCTTTTATTCTGTCCGTTCGGTATCTTCCGTCTGCCTCTATTGCTGTGTCATCTCTGCCTTTGCTTTCTGCATGCATCCCTGCCCCCATACGGTAACGCTGGCTGCTGATGCTGTCTTGTGATGCTTGAGTGGAAGTCACAGCGTGTTGAATGAAATGCAGAGTAAATCACAGGATTTGCTCACGTGAAGGTTTTTATGTGTCACCCAAGAGTTAGAGTTGCTTTAAATACCTCACACAGATATGACAAATTGAGATAACTCGGATTTAAAGTGCATTTAAAGGAGTGGTATCCTACATTGCTGTGGTGGGGTTGCATTACATTATATTGCATTTGTGCTGTATTTGAAATGCCTAACAAGAGGCTGTCCTTGTCCTACCTGTAGCTTAGACCTCACACTGACAAAAACAAGACAGTGACAAAATGGTTAGGAAGCGAACAATGAATTTGAACCACTTTTCCTGAAAGGTGTGAGAGTTGTGGAGGAAGAACGAAAAACTTAATGACGTTTTTCAATCGAAAATCTCCAAAACAGCCCAGAATGGTTGTTCTGTTATGATTGTGTTTACTTAATTTTATTTTCCATCTTTACTTGATACCAAAAACAGACTGACCAGGGTCCACTAAAAACCTAGCTTCCTGGCTGTGGCACATGTAAATTCTGTGTGTGGATGGCTGCAATTACCCTTTCAGATTTTCTTGTTTTTCAGGTTTGTATTAAATGATGTTTTTTTTAATTCAAATGCAAGGTTAGAAATTTGCTGGTTTAGGATAAGCAATGCTGTCTTTAAAGTTTGTTTTCTTGCTGTAGAGGTTGTACAACAATCGCTTATGTCAGTCTCCCTGAGATGTTTTGAGAGTGAATCACTTTGACGTATGTGATCTGTAACTGTCAGAGGCACCGACTGTGATAAACCCGTACACCTTTGTTCAGTGAAGACAGTTTAGTTCAACCGTCCTAGCGCAGGAGTGGCTTCTTATAATGAGCACAATACACAAATTGGCACATGCAAATTAGCTTGCTCATGTATGACAGGAGCGATGGGATCAATTTCAGCAGTGTTTCACAGGTATACCAACCTTCTATGGTGCTTCTCTTAAGACTCTTCACTGAACACCTTTGCACTTGACAGGCTGAAAACAAAAATATAAATCAATTCAAAACATTCCTGTTATCTACCACACAGCCTGCTATTGGCATCGAACACCCTACCACACTTGAACTTGTTCTATGGCACTTATCCAGATTGTTCTTGCCTGACTAGATTCTTGCTTGTGTTGCATCTGCCCTCAGATTCACTTTGGATAAAAGCGTCCGGAAAATGAAAATGTAGAATTGTAGACTTGCCTTTTGTTACAGACATAGATGATGTGGGAGGCCAGTAAATCAAATCTGTGAGTCGTCTGTCAGACAAATCTGAAATTTAAATTTCGTGTTAGCCACTAAATGAATCAGCTTTACACGTATGAGGCTAGTCTAGGTACTGTCAACATTAACTGTTGGGAACCTGTTGCTACAGCAGCAGCAGATATATACATTTTACATACTTTTATGCATATTTGTTTTTTACGTATGACTTGTACGTCAAATAGTGGCGGTCCTGATTGGAAAATTTTAACTTAATAAGCACAAGTTTTTAAACAGATAGCTGTTTGGACAGAGTATGAAGCTGGGATAAAAAATAGTACAAGTATCATAGACTATGATAAGCAATGGATCACACAAGCATTGTGCCACAGTAGGTTTGCCTGTTGTTTTGTTTTTTTTTTGTCATTGTTTGTTCTTTCCGATGTCAGTGAACCATCCCTTCCTGTTCTCAGAAGTGCAGAGGAGTGAAATGCAACTCAACCCAGTGGCTAAATGTAACCTCAGAAGTTTGTCAATTTCCAGCATTCAGTCCGCTCTGGAATTTGAGGTCCTAGTGACTCAGCTCGTTTGCTTATTTTGTTTTCCTAAAAATGTGTTTTGGCTTAAATATCATATTCAGTCTAAAATTTCAGGTATAATTTGCAACCGATGAATGGTTTGTACCAAATTCTCCTGGTGCCAGTGGGACCAACTGAATGGGGTAACACCCATGTGAAACACTGTATAATAGAACAGAACAGACAACGGTGACACCTGATTACTGCTCACATTTTTCAGTCTTTACTGGCATTCTTATGTTATTCAATGTATATGGGAGCAGTCTACAGAAATGGACAAGGCAGCGCTTATATTTGCGTTGATGATTAACGATAGGCGTGCCTTTGGAAGGTGTCTTCGCTGGTGTGATTGTCACAAGGCTTTAAATGACAAGAAAAGTTGTATGGCAGTAATCCCTGTCGTGAAAGACTGTTTTTTTTTTTAAGGTAAGCTGTCAAGATAAGGAGAAAAAACAAACAACCATAACAATGCATACCAGAAACAGCAACAACTCAGCCTTTCTCTATTCTTGGTTTTTCCAGTTGTGTTGACACCTAAGATATGTATGCGGGACTCCTGTCTGACAGACAAAGGTTTCAGAATTCAGAAATGGTAAGGTGCAGCTGTCTTAATGTGTTTCAGGCAGCAGATGGCAGCAAGTCTTTGTAAGAATAGGAACCAACAGCACTCAGAAATTCAGCATCAGTTGTACTTTGTTGGATGAGCTATGAATCCTTGAAAAGTAAAATGTTGTGGCCATTTATGTAGACTGTTGAAGGTTAAAGAGGAGTGAAGCAATGGGCCTTTTTCACTGAAGTCATTTTGATATCTTATAGTAAGAAATGCAGGATGATAAAAGTTAATGTTGTGTGTCAAAATAGTCAAAACAGCCTGTATACGGTCTGAGGCTATATAGTAGCTGTCTAATGCCAGCTAAAATCGCAGAAACTACTCAATTTCTTCTTGATTACTGCTTCACTATCCCAGTATGACTGAAGTTGATAAGTGGAGTCTGACCCTCAGAAGACTTTTTTTTTCACACATCGCCACTGTTGCTTTTGGGCCAGTCATTTATTGGCTCTCTGCAGTGACATGCCAGTTGGTACAGGTTGTCCTTCATATGTAAACAGACGTTCCCTTTAGCCCACACTAAAACCTTGGTGACAAATGCCTACACAAAAAGTCAAATCCCTGAAAGCAGATAGTCAGATATGTCAACACTTCACCCACCAAAATGCTCACAGGCCACAGTTTATTAAAAAAAAAAAAGTGTACAAACAGTAACAACCTATTGGTGTGTAGGTCTCTTTTGCCCTGGATATAGTACTTGTTGTCATTATTCCCTGTGAGCTTGTAAAAGTCAGGTGGTTTCTTAGATCTTTCAGACCTGACCATGACAAGTGCCAGCTCTGCCAATGCTTACAAATGCTTTTTCATCTAAGCTGCATCTTTATGCGTGCTTGGCTTATTTCAAATTAAAAAATAACCCTGACTGGCACATTTTAAACAGTTTTATACAAGAACAAATGCTACAATTAAAAAAAAAGAAACAGTATCGTATCCTTGAACAGTTTCTTCCTGTCATGTGGCCAGGTGTGAATGTGAACTTTGCCTTGCTCTGCAAAGCACTGTCCTATAGCATGTACTCCACCTCTGGAAAAAATGCATTCATCTGTGTTCTTTATGTAAAATACAAAGCATTTTTAGTGTAGTTTTGTTGTGTTTTCATGCTTCAGCCTCTGAATATTTGGAAGGCTCAAGTGAGTATGACATGTGGGTGTATTTGTATAATGACAATAATGGATAATAGTGTGCTTTGCAAACTTTAAACTGGATCGCACCTGCTCATGTGCCTTTGTTTTCTAGGAGCTATACTTTCTGAGAATGCAAAGGAGCAGAGAAAAGACGGAGAGGGACAAGATGGAGGTACAGAATCAGGTATGACTTTTTTTTTGTCTTTGGCTACCCAGGAAATTACATTACTATCAGCCTCTAGTTGTTAAGAAGCAGACATGTATATACTTTTTCTCCATTTAAAGTGTAGGGTTGTGTGAAGTTGCTAATATTCCTTTAGATTGCAGTGAAATAGTTATTTATAGTTGTTAAAACCAAACATAACAGGCATGTAGTGGAGAGTGGCGCAGGTTTTCTTCTTGTGCATATTAAATTTACTTGAACTAATGGTCTGTGTGTCTGTTTTACATGTGGTGGTTACACATTGGCTTGGTGAAGTGTAAGAAGAGGTTAAGGGTGTGTGTGGCGACATGCAACAGAGCAGATTACTCCAAGCTGGCCCCCATCATGTTTGGGATTAAATCCCACCCTGAAGATTTTGACCTGGAAGTCGTGGTGCTTGGTTCACATCTCATTGATGACTACGGGTAAGACCAGAAGGCTTTCTTCTAAAGGCTGTGCTGTCTGCATTCATTATGGAAGTATATGAACATACTTAATTTTTGCAGGAACACTTTTCGGATGATTGAGCAAGATGACTTTGACATTGGCTCTAAGCTCCACACTATTGTGAGGGGAGAGGATGAGGCTGCCATGGTGGAGAGTGTTGGGCTGGCACTAGTGAAGCTCCCTGATGTCCTGCAGAGACTGCGCCCTGACATCCTGGTTGTACACGGTGACCGCTTCGATGCGCTAGCTTTGGCAACTGCTGCAGCGCTTATGAATATTCGAATACTTCACCTGGAGGGAGGAGAGGTAGAAGACTTATCTGTTAAGCAACTATATGCTTTGTCACTCTACACCTGTGTATGTACACTATTATCTTTTTACAGTGCTTGCTGTTATACCTTTTTTCTTTTTCCTTTTTTTTTAAAAAAACCTTTTACACCTTTGCCACCAGTTTCATATCCTTATTTTTATTTTTTTTAATGCTTTTGATGCACTGCACTTATTTATAAGACCTATTGGTGTGGAAGAACTTGGTAGTAATTGTTAAAAATGACAACTTGTACACTCTTTACTCATTCTGTTCTTTGCTCCTTTTCCAGGTTAGTGGTACAATTGATGACTCAATCCGCCACGCCATCAGTAAACTGGCCCATTACCATGCCTGCTGCACACGCATGGCAGAGCAACACCTCATCGCCATGTGTGAGGACCACTCTCGCATCCTGTTGGCTGGATGCCCTTCATATGATAAGCTGCTGTCGACTCATCACAGAGAAGACTACATGGACATTATCAAGAGCTGGCTGGGTATGCAGAGATGCCGTCATAGGAACAAAATATAGTGTGAGACATTAGTCTATGTTTGTTTGTGATGTCTGGGGTTTTTTTTCTTTCATGTTGAAGGTGACAAGGTGCAGGAGCGTGATTATATTGTGGCGTTGCAGCATCCGGTCACTACAGACATCCAGCACTCGATTAAGATATATGGTCTGATGCTGGACGCACTGCTCTCCTTCAACAAGAAGACCCTCATCCTCTTCCCTAACATTGATGCTGGTTAGTTTCACCTGTTGGTCTCTTCTTCAGTTCCTACTCGTATTTTCCTGTATATGTGAGTGTTTAGTCAAAGTAGAATTTTTAATTATTTTAAGGCATTTTCAAATCTGACTGGAAGTTTGATGAGTTAAACAAATAAATGTTTCTGTCAGTTCAACTTTTACTTCTCATGTAAACAGGAAGTAAGGAGATGGTACGTGTCATGCGAAAGAAGGGCATCGAGCAGCACCCCAACTTCCGGGCAGTGAAGCACATTCCCTTTGAGCAGTTCATCCAACTTGTCTGCCACGCCGGCTGCATGATCGGAAACAGCAGCTGTGGAGTGCGAGAGGCCGGCGCATTCGGCACGCCCGTCATTAACCTAGGAACAAGACAAACAGGCAGAGAAACAGGTAGGAATGACGGGAAGCAAGATTATTACCTGCTGCCTCTGACGTGGTCCTGATGTTGTCTCTAACAGAACAAGAGGAAGGTCAACAGATTACGAGGAGATGAATGAATGAATGAGGATCACATGTGCTGAAGGGAGGCACTGCTCAGCAAAATTTGTTTTTCATTTGGTTGCAGAGCTTGTTCAAACATAACAAATCTTTATAATGCTGTTTTTTCAAACAAATGAAAGCACATTTGTAAATGTCAGTGAGCATACTGTCACTGCGGGTTAAAGCCAAAAGTTTTATAATTTTTCCTTTTTATAGGCTGTGAATATCTTTCATTCTTTTAAATTAATCTGCCTTGATTTCTTTAGCTTAACAGCTGTGCTTATGATATTTCTTTCTTTTTCCAGGTGAAAATGTTCTGCATGTCAGAGATGCCGACACTCAGAATAAGATCTATCATGCTCTGGAACTGCAGTTTGGGAAGAGATACCCCTGGTATGATTAGTTTACTTCCTGCATGTCTCACAGCGTCTTTGTCCTCTTTTTTTGTTTGTTTGTTTTTATTTTCGATTTAAAAGGCAAATCTCACAGCAAACTTTTACACAATCTATCAATGAAAAATAAAGTTCATATTTAGCAACAATGGACATGTGATTGGATGCTGCCTACAACACTGGTTTGTGTAATTAGACATTTTCTTGGACTGTAACTGGTTACTTTACAGTAAATGTGGAATATGTGCTAGTCTTATTAAAAAGAAGCCAGGCATGTTACTTTCCCAAAATCTCCATCTGTATGGCAGGTTTTCACCCTTTACCCTTAAAAGAGTGTGTATAAAAAAATGTTAAAAAAAAATACAGTATAGTTATCATAGAACTTCTGTTTGCCACAGAAACTTTTTTTTTTTTTTAATTAGCTTGCTAATATGAGTAAGATGTTTTATGATAATGGATCCCCCAAGCCACCCACCCATAGGGTCATAACACAATACAGCCATGCTTACATCTAACAGCTACAAACCTGCTAATCAACATACGAGATGCAAAAAAGGCAGCTTCAGTTTCTTACAAGTACATTAATGAGAATTCATTTTTTGCTCTCACCAGCTCTAAGATTTATGGCGACGGCAACGCAGTGCCTCGTATTCTCAAGTTCCTGCGAACCATTGACCTGGACGAGCCCCTCCAGAAGACCTTCTGTTTCCCCCCGGTGAAAGACCCCATTTCCCAGGACATCGATCATATCCTGGAAACTCAGAGTGCTCTGGCCATTGACCTGGGAGGAACCAACCTCAGAGTTGCTATCGTCTGTATGAGGGTAGGTTGCCTAGACTCTTCCATGAACAGACACAAGTGTAAGTGCTTTTCCATAGCTGTCTCCCCATTTTTGTGGTCGTAAAGTGTTGATCATAGACACTAATAACCTTACAGATAATGTCTTTATTATAATTCAGTTCCTGCTGGCTGTATCCCTTTTTCACTTCCTCTCTCTCTGTTCAGGGCAAGGTTGTGAAGAAATACACTCAGCCCAATCCAAAGACTTTCGAGGCCAGAATGCATCTCCTGTTAAAGATGTGTACAGATGCCATGCGGGATGCTGTGTGCCTCAACTGTAGAATACTTGGTGTCGGTACGAAAACGCACACACTCACGTTCCTCAATGAAAAAACGCTATGATGCTGACACACATATTTTAAAACTTTTATCTCAAAGGTCTTTCAAAATCTGCTTCTCAGGAGTGTCCACAGGCGGGCGTGTAAACCCACAAGAAGGTGTGGTCCTACACTCGACAAAGCTGATCCAGGAGTGGTCTTCTGTGGACCTGAGGACACCCATCTCAGACGCCCTACACCTACCTGTCTGGGTTGACAATGACGGCAACTGCGCTGCTTTAGCCGAGAGGAAGTTTGGTCATGGCAAAGGAGTGGAAAACTTTGTCACTGTCATCACAGGAACAGGTAAGAGGGCAGGACTCCAGTTGAGCCAGGTTTTTGTTTTTTAAATCGTGCATTACAAACAAATAGCATTATCACAGAAAGAGCAACATCATACAAGTTTCTTTTTTGACATAACTGTTCATTCCTGTAGAGAACTTTAGATTGTCAGTGTGCTTTTTATCTGCTATTCAAGAACTGATCTTAATCATTCTGGTAAATTTGTATGTTGTTGAGTTTGGAAGATAGGGGGATATTGCCAAACAAACACATGATAATATGCACCGTCAGGCTGCAAAAGCTGATTGCACAATTAAGCAAACTGACAATGGAACACTCTGAAATGTTTTTTTTCCAGTGTTAGACCACCACTGCTGTCTGTGAGCTGACGATAACAAACAAGCTGCGTTAAGTGAATTAGGTTTTGTACAGCTGAGTTGAGCTGAATCAGCTCCAGTCTATTTTTGTTTGCATTTTTTGCTGACTCTGTATGCATTCGTGCCATCTTAATATACTCTGTAAATTAAATGGCAGCATTCACCACAGCAGCTTTGGATATCGAAGCCTGTGGCTATTTAAGGTGTTGAGATGGGGAATGTTAGTCCAGTGGATTTATTATTTCTGGGATCATAGGCTTACCCCAGGTGTGTTTTATTTATTTATCTTAGTGTTTAAAGAGTAATAAATAAGGGTTTTCTTCTCTCATTGTATATTTTTCATTACATTAAATGTTGGGAATGTAACTGTCGGTACCGTCATCAATCATAGCTTTATTGGAACGTGATTGGCTGACTAACTTTTTAATACAAATTGGATTAGCTGATTTAATGCATTAAAAGTCTGAGGAAGTAAATATCTTGACTCTGTGTGTAGGTATCGGAGGAGGAATTATCCATCACAATGAGCTGGTTCATGGCAGCACCTTCTGTGCCGCCGAGCTGGGTCACATCATGGTCTCACTGGAAGGCCCAGACTGTTCATGCGGCAGCCGCGGTTGCATAGAGGCTTATGCATCTGGCATGGCCCTGCAGAAAGAGGCCAAAAGGCTGCATGACGGTGAGTGATTGTGTTTGTGTGTGAAGCTCATGGGAGAGTGCTAAGGGCTCTAGTAAAAGATGGAAGGGTTCTTCTGAATAGATATTCCGCAAAAAAAAAAAAATATTGTGGTTAGTTTCTGGAATTGCATGTGCTTAAAGGAAGCACTCTGTAACACACACTTAATGTCAGGTATCTCTGAAGTGGTTTACAAAACATACAGTTAGAAAATTTAATTTATAATGCATTATTTTGGCTTCAGAACATTCTCTTCTCCCCCCCTGTTCCGAACTTCAAATTGGAAATGCTTTCACATAAAGAAGAAACTGTGAATAACACCCAAGGAATCTTCCTCACCACCTAATCTGTTATCATTGTTCTATTTTTTGCTATTAATGTCAAAAAACCTTAAGATTTCATCACACGGTTGATGTGACAACATCCACCGTTGCCATGGTAACAGCAGCCCAGTTTAATACTACGCCAAACAGTCCTTGGGCTGCCACTTTGTCAGAAACACAGCACTAAAGCAGCTGATATGTATGTTTACATCGTAGCCAAAAAAACACAACATTTGACACAGGCTGCAGGACTAAGTAAAGATTTTTACCTTGCTGAGAAGCTGGATGTGTGTCGTCTATTTTATTGCTAATTTTCATGTAACAGCTCACTGTGGCATCTCCTCTGTGTTGCGTTTTTCCCAGCAATATACAAAACTACCTTGCTGTGATTCACAATGGCAAAAAGGATCGTGTCTTGTTTTGAAGAATGCTGAATGTGGTGTCAAACACATTTCTGTGGCTGCTTCACAATAAATGCCTTCATTCATTTGCACTGGCAGTAATCTAATTCAACTCTGATATTGGTATGGAAAAGTGAAGGTAGACAGTGAGGCTCCCATCAGATAAAATGCTAAACTGTAACGCTGCTTCTTGGGAAGTTCCTGTGTATGTGGACGAGATCAGTGAAAGAATATATGTTTTTAATAATCCAGCCAGATACAGAAAATCTAGCAGCATTGTGAATTTAAATAAATACAGCTCCTTACCATATTATTTGTATATCCTACATGGCTTCACACTACTGTCTGTCATTGACATTCATACATCTGATCTGCGTGATGATGTGTTTTTCAGAGGACCTGCTTAAGGTGGATGGGATGGATATGAAGCTCTCGGAGCCAGTCACTGCTGCTCACCTCATCAGCGCAGCCAGAATGGGGAACTCCAAAGCTGAAGCAGTTCTGAACAAGGGTCAGAGCACAAAACATACACACACACACAGATTCTGTTCAAGAAATTCCAACTGCACAGTGTGTTTTGTTTTACTGCTCAAAAATATCCACCAACCTACAAACCCATCAAGGAAATGGGTTGAACAAACGTTGACCGTTGCAGGTTTTTTGATCATTCAGTGATGCAGATATGTTGTTTATTCTCTCGGACACAACAGCCTTAACGTGACTTAAGGGTCAATTGAAATGAGGGAATTTAAAAATACATTCAGCAGAGGGAGGGCAGCTGTACAAATTGAAAAATCTTTAGTGAGGATAAATCTAAAAAAAACAATAATTTCTGTCTTCTTCCCCTTCACAGCCTCCACAGCGTTAGGTGTGGGCATCGTCAACATCCTCCACATAGTCAACCCCTCACTGGTGATCCTGTCTGGAGTCTTGGCCTCGTACTACCAGGCCCCAGTGCAGCGCATCATCTCAGAGAGAGCTCTCTTCTCTGCCCAAAGCATCAAGGTTGTCACGTCAGACTTGGAAGAACCTGCCTTACTTGGAGCTGCTAGCATGGTGTTAGACTATGCAACCAGGAGGATATACTGAAGGGCGTATGTGTAATTTACAAAGGACTGCAAAACTACAAGTATTAACTGTACTGCCTACATCAATGCGTAAACATATCTATTAGACATTTTCAAGGCAAAAGTGAAAGGCAATGCGTTGAAACTATCAAAAAGTAAGCACGAGTTTAATATATTTTTAACATTATTTTGTTTCCTGCTTGTTGATGACCGAAGCGAATGCAGTTGTGCTTGCATTGTCCACAGATATACACATACTGGTTTTTTTTTTTTTCCACATTGTAACTTGGATACAAGTTTGAAGTGGGTCCATTCCACAATCTGGAAATCCCACCCCTGTTTTGTACAGTGCCTACCGTGTAATTAGGATTAAATGAAACCCCGGGACTTTTTTTGAACAAGGCATCAGCTTTGAGTACTCATACACATATCCATCTTTAAGCCAAAACTACTCATAGAGGGCAATACTTATGACGGCTCTATCTGTAATGTGACATGTGTAGAAAGGAAAGTTTGTCATTATAGAAAGCTTGTTTCAGATGTGACCAAAGTATTGCTGAAACATGCTACTGTAGCTGTTCTCACTCACTGTTTTTTTTGAGTTTTCTATAAATCTTTTATGAACATTCATTCACAGTTTTATCCGTTTTTAAGGCGAGTCCATGTTACATGTTACATTTCCATGCTTTGTTATTAATTAAATAATTTAAGATCTGTTAAATCAAACTGAAGTGTCTTATATTAATGACCTGGTAAAGCAGCAACCACTTTAGCCTTATGACTGCTATAGTATGATGAGGACTTGAGAATGAATCTCTTGTCTGAAAACTTTTTTTTTTTTTACATTTCATGACAGACCTTAAGATTTTAGCCTTCTGAAGATAATATATGATTTGTATGTAATATTACATACCACATGTACATTATATGACTGTTAGTTTTTAGATCAATTTCTATGTGAGCTCATTGATTTATGTTGTTCCAAATAAATAATCTGTCACGTTTAGATATTCTCAAGACTTACCTACAATATCACTTCACTTTTGCATTCATTTGGGTGTTTATAGGGAGCAGACTGAAGAAACTGACTGATGTACTGTGTCCTAAAAGTAGCGTTGCTTTAATTTTTAATAAGAGGCAAAAGTTTGGACACATCTACTCATTCACGAGTTTTTACATTAAAACTATAACCCATGAAATTATTAAGTAAACAAAAATTAATGTTAGATTCCTCATCGTAGACACCTTTTGCTCTGATAACAGCTTTGCACACTCAGTTCCATGAGGTCTTCACATGGAGATGCTCTTCCAATAGCTCTGAATGGGTTTGCTTTTTTCATTCACTTTGCAGTCTTAACTCCTCTCAAGCCATCTCAGTTAGGTGTAGGTCAGGGGATTGTGGAAGCCAGGTCTTCTGACGCAGCCCTCCACCTCTTTACTTCTTGTTCAAACAACCCTTACAGAGTCTGAAGGTGTGTTTTAGCTCATTGTTCTTTCAAAAACAAATGCTGTCTCATAAAGCTCCATACAGATGGAATGGCATGTCACTTCAGAATTTTGAGGTAGCCATGTTGGTTAAGGCCCGGGAGTCTGAATAGATCACCAACAGCGTCACCAGCGAAGCCCCTTTCACAATCACAACTCCTCAATGCTTCATGATGGCAACCAAACCTGCAGATGCCATCCAATCACGTACCAGCATTCAGAATTAAAAATCTTGAGTTTTGACCCATCAGAGTAAAGTCCAGCTTTCCATTGCTCTAATGTTGTTCCACTGTGTCCCTTGGTTTCACCGGTTTTCTTCTACTTACCGGTAGTGCAGCAGTAGTTTCTTTGCAGCGCTTTGACCTTGAAGGGCTGATCCACGAGTCTTGTTGAACTGTCTTCCCCTTTCCTGACGCAGTCCTTATGAATGCCAGTTTCTCCACTGTGTCTGATGGTTTTTCTGACTGCACTATTTCACTGATTTTCAAAGTGATTAACCTTCCAGTCTTACAGTAATAATAAACCATAATTTCTTTTTGCTTGGGTGACTGGTTCATGCCGTAATACAAATTACTACAGTAGTTGGATCGGGCTATTTGCTGTTGAACAACACAACTTTGGCACAACACATCTGATGGCCTGAGACACTTTAAGAAGGCAAGATATTCCATCAGTTAACTTTTCGTAAGGCACATTTATTCATTTAAAAACCCTATAAAGTGACAGCTTCATAAGGCTTCTTTAAATCCTTTGGTTTGCTACATTCTTATTAAAGAAAACCCCTTGAATAAGTAAGTGCATCCACGCTTTTAAAAGGCCATCCTGGATATTTACACTGAATAAAATCACCAACTGTTCACTGCCTGTTATATCTGAATCTTCCACTATGGACTCTACTGCTAAGTTTTAAAGTCAATCTATTGCAAGCCCAGTACATTCAAAACTCACTGTACCATCCACTCACCATGCACTGTATCACGGTGTAGCTTTAAAATACCGTCGCAATGAATTATCCGACAGTTCACTGAGTCACTCTTATATTGCACCCATGTTTTAAAGCCAATATATTTGCTATCAGCTCCATAACTTGAGTCAGGTGAGTGCTGGCTTGCCACCTGAATCCTTTGAAACTGTCAGAGGTGTTAATAATTAATCAGTGTGACGTTGTAGGTTTGGACTGGGAACAACTGTTGTGTCAAAGAAAAAGCCACAAACCCAGATGACAGAAGTCATGAGGAACACTGAAGAAAGGTGGGAAAGAAACTTCATGTCAGCATAAAGGAACATTCCCACATTGATTTTATTTGGCAGCATCCAGGTGTGTGGATGTTTCTCTGTAGCAGGTTCATAAAGGTTAGAGGGTAAAGCAGGCACCTTGAAGAAACAATACAAGTAGAACTTGAACAACATGACATAAACTCTTTGTAGCCATAGTCCATAATTAATATCTTTGGATTTGAATGAGAAAAAATACATATGTTCTGTATTTATATATGAATATGTATGGGTTTTTTTTGAATATTTTTATTTATTTTTTTCTGACAAGATAATACCTCTGCAAAGAAAGAAGACAAAGACTTGACCATATAAATGCTTTAAACATGGAGCTATCCAATCTCGCCCAGTAATCAAGACTGCGGATTTTTTTCCCCCAGCTCTGACAGCAGCACGTAGCAGGTCATGGGACCCGTATGGAAGCTTTCAAAGATTTGATTGGTCCAATTTTGAGTCAGCTGATCTCTGGTTGGTTATCAGCGCTGCCAGTCATCCATCCTGGATTGTGATTGGCCGTTTTTCTGCTTCCGCTTCGCTAGCTTTAACTGTTTTTTTTTTTTCTTTTCTTTTTTTCTCTCGTCCTTCTTCCCGTTGAGCCGCTCGGTTTCGGTGGACTGCTACACCTGCTCGCCGTTTCTCATCTTTATCCTCCCACAACATGGATGATTTTGACATGCTGAACGCGCCCGCCGCTGGAAACGGCGTGGGCTCGGAAGAGGACCCCGCTGCCGCCTTTTTGGCCCAGCAAGAGAGCGAAATAGCGGGCATTGAAAACGACGAAGGCTTCAGCATCCTGGACAGCGGAGAGGTCCCGTCGTCGCTGGGAGACTCCAACGGTGTGTGACTGCTGTGGTCAACTTTGCCTCGGTTTTATTGAATGTCTAGTTATCTGTAATCTCAAGAGATTGTCTATGACTGCGAACGCTAGCTGTTCGGTGAACGTAGACGTTAATTTGCCCCGAAATAGACACTGAAGTCGGTGTTTTTCTTAGCCAGCTTGCTAGCTTAAGCTGAGCTAGCAGATTAGCCAAGTGGGTTTAGTTAGCGTTATCCTTTGTCAGCGTATTCCAAAATTCACCAAGGAACATATTAAAGGAAAACTCGGAGTGATTTTAATGTTTATTGTGTCACGATTCTAGCTTTTGCTTTGTTTCTGAAATGAATGAAGCCTATTGATAACATCAGTTCTTCCGCTCTTGGCCGCGTCATTCATTGCGTCCCATTGACTTCGGAGCTACACACGCAGGTAGCTGCAGCTGTTTCTGCTGCTAACTTACAGCCACAAGAGGAAACTGATCGAGCTCAATAACCTTTGACCAAGACTGCCTCATTTCCTCCAAGCTGTAGCATTGCTGTGGTTTAGCAATTGTTGTTGGTTAGAAATGCTGACATGTCATATTACGAAATATGAACGTGTGTGAAAATCTCTCAATCTTTCGAGACATATTTGATCATGTTTCTGGTTTTATTTGTCTGCTTGACTTGTAACAGCTATTTTAAATTGCATCTTTTTCAGATGGCACCGTCAATGGAGAACTTCATGGGGTAATACTGCCTTTACATTGTTTTGCTTCCTCGTAGTTTTGCTCTTGAATCGTCAGCTTTCTTCTGTCCTGATCTTTGTTAGTCTTTCTATGTGTATTAAAATGCAGGCTCTGTCTGTATTCTGTATCAGTCACATAAGCATTGATTGTACACAAATCTGCATCTGAATCTACATTGCTGAGATCTGCAAACACATTCACAATATAACAACTAATAGCAGGTCAAGAAGCACTTTTTATATCATTTTATTATTATTATCAAGCTTGTCATTAAAGAAGATCATTTAAACCACTTTATTAGGAGGTAAATATTAAATTTAGTGCACCCAAAATGTCATTAATAGACCTTCAATGCACAGCACAACTACAGCTTTATTATAGAAAGTACAGTAGTTGAACCAGGAACTCTGTGTAAAGTGGTTGCATTTTGTTTTTCAAAATGTTTGAGTAAGTAAGACATTTTTTGAGTGATCTGGTGTCTGCCTTAAAACCTAATGGCCCAATGGCTTGTGTTTCTTGGCATATCAGATTTCATTTTAGTGATGTTGCCATGTTCCCAGATGTCCCAGATAATTACTGCCTCAGTTGGAATAAACTGTAATTATCCTTCAAGTGAATTAAATGGGATGCTGAGATTTGCTCAGCATCTTGTTTGCATTTAAATTCTGCAGCATTCTCATGGTGTAAAATATAAGAAATTTGTGTGTGTAAATGTCAGTGTGGCTCTTTTTTTCCCTTCTTTTTAGCACAGAGGTTTGAGTATTTGGCTGTTCGAATCATTTCAGCTTCCTTTTCCTGTGCTGTCATTGCAACATTTCTTCTTTTTGCACTGTCAGGACTTCTGTGTGGCACAGAGAAAAGCTCACTCTTAAGAACAGATGTACTGCATGCCTATTGGATGTTAGGACAAAAAGAGCAGATTCCAAATTCACAAGCAACTTTCAAAGATCAATTGTTAAATAAATCATGATGAGAGACTGAATGTTTCTTTGCCTCTTTTCAGTAAATGTCTTTGATAAAATGTCCTTTGTGAAGAAACTCTGCCTATTATCTCCCTTGTTTTTCAGGAAAGCAACGGCCCGTCAGATGCCTATGCAGCAATTTCCAATGCAGACCGACTGCAGGCCGAACCTGAAAGTCTACGCAAGTGGAGAGAGGAGCAAAGAGAGAGGCTGGAATTGCTAGGTAAGCACACAGCAGAACTTTTTGTTACAAAGGATTTGGGCAGAGTAATAGTGCCACGTAAAGGTAAAGATCTATGCCAAGCACTAGAGATTTAAACCTAACTGACTTTTTGTGTAGAATGTGTAAACCTCATGCAGTCATACAGAATTCCTCTTTCCCCTCATGGCTGATTTTCAATTTTTTCTTCCTTGTCATTCCGATTGTCATCCTTCGCTCCTGTCTTTATTTTTCCGTCCATCTCCTCACTTGCTAATCACTCCTGTTCTTTGTCATCTCCGTGCAGATGCAAACTCTCGTAAGCAGGAGTCGGAGTGGAAAGAGAAGGCCAAGGTGGAGCTGGAGGAGTGGCATGCCAGGCAAAACGAGCAGCTGGAGAAAACCAAAACCAATAACAGGTACTGGCTTCTTGCAGGGACTGAACCAAGACAGAAGATTAATGGAAATGAGGGTTGCCTGATATTACTGTAAAAAGAGCATATCTATAGTTAGTTTGTGGACAAAACAAACCAAGAGGGCTCACAGCGACACACAAACTTGGAAAATATTTCAGTACAGAAGTATATTAATAGTTATTAAATATTAGCAGTGTGCAGGTGCGTCTATAATCCAATGTTAATGTTTGGGGTGTGGAGTGTGTTGGCTCTCCATGATTAATAAAAGTCAGTCCGCTTTAACCTTGATGTTCCAGAAAAAACAGTTTTCTTGTGTATCTGTCGTCACCACAGACTCCCCAGTTATCATTGCCTTTAGTCACATGTTTATAATGTGAAAACAAGCCTTTTTCTCTCATGATAATGCTTTTACACACGTATACTCTTTTCTGGTATCGTTTATTCAGTATTCTGTTTGACTGCCTCGGGACAACCTAAGCCTCTATGATATATTGCAGTCCAGTACTTTGGTCCAGCAACATACACGACTGTATCATTGTGTGTCCCTTCATACATACACTATCTGTAGTAATGGTACCCAGCGCACAACAGTCTTTACTAACTTACTAACTCCTACGTTTAAGTGTCTTTTGACCTCCACTTAAGGCTAAAATTAATTGAAACAATTTTCAGTCAGCCTAAGTTAGACCTTTCTGTATGAAGAATTTAGTCACATACAATCAAAGCAACCACTGTATTGTGCTTTTCTTATAGTCTTACAATGACTCCACCTCTGTTTTCATGAATTGGTGACGATGGAGGACTAAGAATAGTGTAGCTACAGTTCTCAGATGACATTAACTGAATACAGAGAGAGAGACAATCCTCAGAGCTCGTTCATTATACTATGGCTTATTTTTAGTGGCTCAAAAACGCTAGCTAACAAGTCATATTCAAATATAACTAAAAATATATCGATATTTTACAAATCAAGAATCTTACAAAAAAATAATTGAATGAATTGACTCTCAAATAATACTGCTAAATGTGTATCTTGACTAGTTGATAATAAAAATAACACTTAATAGCTTTGACATGTTGGAGTTGTATTCATATACTACTAAAGAAGTAGTACTAGAAAAACAAATTGTAACTAATCATTTTGCAAAGTGAAATTGGCAGCATTTTAGTCTTTAGTTTCTGCTGCACTGTAACACGGCCCCGCTGCCTTATTAATAATAAACTAGCAGCAGCCATAACTCCCTACTCACCTGGCAGCACTGTGTGTGTGTGTGCTCATCGGAAACCTGCTTCTGCTCTACAGTCTTATCACATAAAGGGTTTTATTCTCGTAAAAATAGATAAGTTGCATAAGTCCTCTTATAAATGTGAGGGTGTGGAATGAGTTCTACAAAGAGCTTGGGCTGCAGCTGACAGTTATTTTCCAATATCAATTATGTATTTATCAATTCATTGCTTTGTTTATGCAGGAAAATGTATAAACTGTATGTAGAAGAGACTCCGAACTAAGTTACTACATTAAAACAAATAATAGCCACAAGTATGTATATGTATGCGATAGGTAAAGCTACAACATACTGGATAGTGACTAATTGCTTAATAAGGAAATAATATCTTGCTTATGTAATTATTTTAAAAAGCAGCGAGCCAATGATCTTATCACAAGTGTCATGTCAAGATTTCAGCTGATTCTCTGATGCCCACTGACACGACATTCAGAAGTCCTTCCAAAAACAACCTTTCATGATATGTCTGAGCTTATTACTGTGTGGTAACCTATAATGCTTGTGTTTCCATCTTCTTCTCCCTTTTACCGCTTTCTCTCTTCTCTCCTGCCTTCTTGCTGCTCTGTCGTTTGGGCGGATGTTTGTCCAGGGTGCTGGATGAAGACTTCTACAAGCAGCCCTTCTCTGAGCTCATTGGTTATGTGTATGTTGCTCCAACTAACATCCTCCTTTTAATTTTCCTTTCCATTTGTTTTTCCCCCTCCATTCTCATCAACCACAATCATACTCGTCTCATTAATTAGGGGCACTGGTTAGCTCTCTCTGTGTTGCTATTTTCATTTCCATTTTGAACTGTCCCATTTTTAACTGCTTGTACTTCTAATTCTTACCCATCACATGTAGCTTGTAGTTGTTTTTCTCAAATCAAATACATATGAATCCCATATGTCTGCATGTCATTCGTGAGTGGATGCCTGTCAGGATATTACAGTACAGAGAACAACTGCATGCAAATCAGACACTCTGCCAAAGCTCCTCACATCCACAGAAATCAAATGAGTTGTTTCACACATGTGCCCGTGTTGATTTTGCATTCATCATTCACTTCTGTCCTTTTTCCCTTCAGCCATTTCAGCAAAACATTTCGCAAATACATTCCATAAGTCTCCAACAGTTGACACTTGCTTACATTAATTGTATAAACTTTAACAGAAAGTGTTTGTTTTTTTTCCCACTTAATGCCTTTATGAATGTCGTTTTCTCTAGAATTAATCTACAATATGTTATTCAGGAGTTAGGATGCTTTTAGATTAGTTTGAAGCAATTGTGTGTTTATATTTGGACTTGTGTTTGCGTCAGTATCATCTCCCCTTAGTTAGTTGATAAAATAATGTATGGTTTCACTGCACTGCACTGTGCCGAGTAAATCAGAAGCTGATACCTTTGAGGTTATTCTCTTGTCGTTTATAGGCTGCAGCGATGCTATTAAAAGTTAATGAGAAATAGTTTTCCAAAGTTTTGTTTCTGCGATTTAGCTTGTTGAATTGGTCTGCAGTTTATTTCCGGGTAGCATTAAACAGTATCAGAATTTGGTTTTCTTAAAAGTGCAGATGTATCGACACAAGTTCCAACACACAACCCCTCCATCATCTCTCTTCTCCTGATTATTGGTGCTGCAATTACATGTACAGCAAGACTTTATTGCTGACACCTCTGCTCATGTCGTGGATACACAACTGCTTCAAACTCAACTGTGTTCATGCTTTTACTAGAATGTTAGCTGCTCTGTAGCTACTGCTGTCCTATAGGATGACATGCTAATGTGCCCAGCTAGCTATCCAATAGCTTGAGCTGTGCAGCCTTTGGTTTTTGCTATCAGATTACTTGGGAATATCCATTAGGCTGCGTTGTGGTGTGCACATTTTGTTTCCTCTAATTCTTCAGCTTTGGTTTTCTATGTCAAAGGTCAGATCAGCGTGAATGCTGTACTTGGTGGAAGGAAAAAAAACATAACAAAGCAAGATTTTAGTGTCATATTCGTTTATGCTTGGTGAGAATAATTTGGCATGTTTGTCCTGGTAAAATGTTTGTTTTTAGTTTGAAATTAGCATCACATATTGCTTGTAAATATTACTGTGCTCATTTTTGTGTTTTTCATGCCCTCAGGGTGCTGTTTAGGAGTCGTCAACTTTTAAATGTGCACACCTCAATGCAGCTCATGCAGCATACTATTAGCTTATATTTGGCTTTAGCCCAACGCTACAGAATGAATTTTACAGCCTCGGCATTGTTGGTGCAGAATGACGCTGAATCATACCACTTTCTCCTCCCTTGTCCCGTAGGTGGGATTCTGTGACAGGGACTCCAGAGGCCTTGCTTACAAATACTCATGTGAAAACCACTTCCCACACAAAATGGGGAATTAGAAAATACAAAAACAGAACGAACAATTGTTACTGCCTATAGTCTTTTGGAGAAAGTGAGAGATGTAGTGAAAACTGTGTCGATAATTTGTGACATGCAAACAAACTTGAAGAGGTTTTGGACTTTATGTAGATTGGCCTTTTAACGAAATGATGGTGCTTCTTTCATTTTTAAGCATCCTTTTTAAAAAGTAGCCCAAAGCAGTTTTATAAACAAGACTCATAGTGCCCTTGAGTTTAGCATGAGACGCAGTGAATTGTCCACTTACCAAACCAAAGGCTGCACACTAACCATTTTGTAGAAGGAAAAAAAAAAAAAAAACGTTTGAGGAATTGTTGCTTTTGCATGCCTGCTTTCAACATCTGCATTTGGCTCATTTTTGTTGTCTTTAATTTCACTCCCTTCCCTCTCTATCTCTCTTCTAAATTCTGACTTGTGAAACTGTTTCTCCCTGTTTTCTTTTCCTATGCACCTTAAAGCACACACATTAACCATCCTTGCTACCGCCTAGACCAGTTAAGTAAAAATATAAAACCCCAGAACCTCCAAATACTTTATATTATTGACAGGGGATAGATGCAGTTTCTGTGTGTATGTGTGTGTTTATTATGCGTTGCACAGATACCCAGTCTGATAGTCCATCAGTTAGCCTTGATAGAAGTTTGGTACGATGTCCCCTACTTTGATGTTGTGGTCCTTTTAGTCCCTTTGTGTATTTGTAGTTGGTCGTGACAGTGAATGTTCATTAGCTTCTCATCCCCCATTTTGCTTTGTGTACAGTGTTGTAGTCAGTAGGTCAGTTTGTGCCTGCAGCTGGGGTGGGGACTAGAAACAAACCTTGAAAACGGAGATAAAGTATGGCAGTGGAATTGGTACAATGTTTGTGGGTGGGGTGGAATGACAGCTTAGATTTGTTAAGCCATATTCTGTGGCTTGCATTTCAAAATGTCTTGTGATAGTGGCACAATTTTTTTCTTGAGTTCTTTTTTTTTTTTTTTTTTTTTTTGGTGTTTTAATTTCAGATTTTTGGTAATTCCTTTAGTGTAAATGTAATTTTTTTTGTTATGTAGATGGTTAAAAAAAATACCACCACCCTTGTCAAGAAGATATTCGTTCCACACTTATGACACATGAAATCAACGAAAACGCATTCTTTGCCACGACTCCAAATAGCCTGCTTTTCTGCTGCAGCAAAATGCATGGCTACGGCCCTGTAGTGCTTCCAGTTCTTTTGGGCTTGGTTAAAAAAACAAAAAAAACAAGAAGATGACAAAGAGCTTGCCATTATTGTTCCTTTTTAATCAAGGACAAGTATACAGATGAGCTCATTATCCCTATACTTGGTTCTTGTTTAGGAAAGAGAACATAGTAAATATGCAACCACACTGGGCAAGTTAATGTGTACGGGTGTGGGTGAACTCCCTTCCCCCAGTTCTGTACAGAACTGCATTTTTAACCAACCAAAAATGCTTGTCAGACCTTACAGTTATTTGATTTTTTTTACATTTTTTTTAAGCTTAAGTTTGTTTTTCAGTGTTGTGTATGTATCTCCCATTACCGTTGTGGACAGTCGAAAATACAGGTGACTGTACTGTAATGTGTACGCAGAGTTGGGGGCATGCCACAGGTAATGAAGCTGTTAAAGCTCGTTTCTCTTTGTGAGTGTAAAGACAGATGGATGTTTCTGTGTGGTGACTGGACTGTCCTGCCCTGAGGTGGACTCTGCTGAACTAACAACCCAGCCAAAATTCAATGGGAAGGCTCAGATACTGGTGTCTGGCTGAGATTTTTTTTTAAACTTTAATCTAACTGACAAATACTTCAAACATGTCAAGAGTCAAAACTGCTGAGTCAAAGCTCAACACAACTTGAGTCAAAACTGGTGTGTATTGGTGGTCGGCAGAGGATTTTCTCAGGGCTGCACGTTTCTCTGTGTGCGTTTGACCGTTTCCTCCACTGACTGTTCTCTTCTCCGTGTCCCTTCCTCCTCTCTGTTGCATGTAGGGCGGCTGAGGAAGCCATGATTTCAGATCTGGATGAGAACAACCCCGGCACCGAGTGGGAGCGGGTGGCTCGGCTCTGCGACTTCAACCCCAAGTCCAGCAAGCAGGCCAAAGACGTGTCCCGCATGCGCTCCGTCCTCATCTCCCTCAAGCAGGCCCCGCTAGTCCGCTAGACATGCAAGGCTGTTCAGGGCGTCATTCCATATCATCCTTTTTCCGCCACACACCGACCTACCCAACTACTGATGTCCCACCATTTGTATTCAGACAACAAGGGCTGACAACCCTGTATGTCCACATCTATTCGCCATGCACAGCCCTGTTATTGCCCCAGTGCAAGGATATAGCCAGTGGTCCCACCCCCCCCTCTTCTATCTCCTCCTGGCAGGGCTGTAGAGATTAGCCTTGATGTACCTGCTCACCGTTTTCTGCCCCCTGAAAGGTTTGTACCTGTGTGCACCTCTTCCACAGACCAATTAAGACCTTACAATATATTGCCTTTGTTGTGAAACAAATTGAGATTAGGGGCCAGTTAGATCCACACCAGGTCTCATGGTCTGTGGTCTTGAGTAACACTGATGTAAGGGTGGTGAGTCGGGACACTAAAAGGGAAGGGTTGATGTTTGTTTGGGCCGACGGCTACACTACAACCTGCTTGGCATGGCCCCCAAACAATATCATTCCCATGATGCTGTGCTGTAACCTGTCACTCTTATGAATCCTTCTATGACTGTTGAGGGTTGATATTAAGTGGTTTTATTCACCTCTTGCCCTTCGACGCATCGCCTCATGTTTTCCCATCCTTACAAAAAAAAAAAAAGCAGTATCATCAGATTTTTTTTTCTTGATTGTTGTTTTTTTTCAAGGACCAAACTCTAAAGACAAAACTCCAAATTCAATGTGTGTACTTTGAACTGTGTGTGTAGAGCCTGCTTGTGGCATATTGTGTTGGATTTTCCAATCTATGCATTTTCTTTTGAAAAGCCTCTCCCCCTCTCCAGTCAGGAACTGAACAAAGTCCAGTCATTACAATACATGTGACCTGTTTGTATGTGTGTGTTTCAACCTCAACAGTGCGTGTATGTACTCTATGCGTGTACCTATGTACATATACAGAAGGCAATATATATACAGTATATAAAACATTTATGTCACTGAAATTAGACAGTCGTGGTTTTAAAGAGAACTAGATACTAGCCAGCTGTTGCTTGACCATGTGTGTTCATTGTCCATTTGATTTCAATATCAGTAAAAAGTCAATGAAAAGTTGTTGTCCTGTCGTCCTTCAGCTGGATGTTTAATGGAAGTCTGTGCTTCAGGAATGTGGTGCTGGTAGATCCTGAAGAGAGTTAAGGAACCTTTAAATCCGTTTGTGTCCACAAGGAGGCACAACAAGTTCTGATAATGTTGCCGAAAGTTCTCCAGTAGTCCCATACTGACATCGCCACATTGGAGTCTTCCTCTTTGATGCCACCTCAACCAACATCTTTTTTTTTAAGTTTGCAAGCTGCATGAATCTAGATTCAGTTCTAAAATTTCAATGAATTAAAGCTGCACTAATCAACATTTAAACAGCGTTGAGCCGAATCACTGTGTGATCTGAAAGGTGCTGACTCTGCATTACAAGTGGCTGCTAGATTAACGAGATTCAATTTCTCTGTGGAGTTGGAGACCACGACAGAGCTGTAAGATTAGTCATCACGTGGGCAGAAATGTGAATCAGAATGTTTCTTCTTGTCCACTTAATGTGTGAAAAGGCAACTTTTTTCTCATATTTGCTTTAACTTCATCATAAACAGCACAAGTTCTTGCATAATGTCTGAAAGAAAGTCTCACCTTTGTGGCACCTCTTCTTCTTTGACAAACAAACCAAGGACACCAAATACTAAGCACATCAACAGTGGATGAGCTGTCTGTAGGGTTCATAAAACCATTCATTGCGTGTTCGAATGCATCCTCATGTTGCATGGTGATTCAGTACAGACTACGTATTGTACTTTTACTCTGCTCAGTCTGGAGGGCCATGATGGTGACCTGGACCAACAGGCTTATTGAGCTTATGTTCCTCTGTTTGTGCCTTTTTGGTGTGTCGAGACTTTCCCATTTTGTTCTTTTGTTTGTTTGTTTTTCATATATTTCTTGTGTAGGTATGTTAAAGTAAGCTAGTCTGCTGCAGTAAGAGACTGCAGGTATAATTATGTCGTTAGCTTTTTATCTATTTGCACATCCTGTCTTATTGCAAAGGTCTGTTTGGAGAAGGAGGGACGACCAAACCCAAACTGAGACGTAGAGAACAAAAAAAAAGATAAGCACAGGAGCAAATTTGAGAGATTTATGTTGTCTATTGGATGCTAATTACATAATTAGAGCAGATTTGAACGTGCAGTTTGTTGTAATTTGTATCATACCAACGCTTAATTTTGATTTTCTTGCCAGCAAACATCATAACCTCACAGTCTCACAGTCTGTTGGCCATTTCCGTCAGACCTCAGCATCTGAGGGAGTAACAACAAGATTCAACAGTCCTGACTGTTTCCACTATTCATAAACACTATATATGAAGCATGTAGGTAAACATTTCCATACCTTCACCTGGATTGTCGTAGAAACATTCCAGCAGGGCATCAACTTGGGATGTGGGATGATATTTGAATACATTCTGGGAGACACAACCTGATTGAAGATTACTTCTATTTGATTACTGTGTTATTTTGTCAGTAGCCTTTCTATTCTGATTTCATTTGAATGATGCTAAATCCTTTTTTTGCAGCATTATCTTTAGAAAATCTAAATGCTGGTTCCAACTTAAAATTTCCAATTAAATTTAGGTTGGAAAGCTTGAAAAAAATACTGTTGTACATATTTCTACAAATTCCCTCTAAACTAATGCAGCAAAACTATAAAATAAAGTTCTTACGATTTTAGTATTGAAAATGATTTTAAAAAGATGCAGCTTTACAAAGATGACACTTAATCTTCTAAATTGTTCCCATCCCATGTGACAGTGTTGCAGCATTTATGATCAAACCATTACTACATTGTTTTCCTTGAGTCACTTCCCAAGATGTTGTTCTACCTCTTTGTTTTCTTGTGACTGAAAAGATTCACCTCAGAATGGAAGCAATGAGAAAGTCTGAGTAGAATTTGATTTAAAAAAGGGAGAAAAAGAGAGACGTTCTTGAGGTGAATGTGTGGATCATCAAGTCATGACAACCAGAGAAGAATGGAACCATCCAAACATCCTTTTTTCTCTTGTGACTGAGCCAACATCTGTTCAATCAGCGCTGCAAAACCAACACTCAGTAATGCCAATGCAAATGAAACTGTGGGCATAAAATGAGCTTGGTTTTGGAAAATGATATATTCAACACACTGACATTTTGCTGCCTTTTTTCTGCAGACGTGAAGCGCAGACTGTCAGCAGCAGCAGCTTCAGAATTGCTATCCTTTTGGTGATGGTTTTAACTGGTATGTATAGAATGGGGGCTGCAGGGTGGCACAGTTGGTAGCACTGTTGCCTCGCAGCAAGAAGGTCGCCGGTTTGCGTTCCAGAATCTTTCTGCGTGGAGTTTACATGTTCTCCCCGTGCAGCGTGGGTTCTCTCCGGGTTCTCCAGCTTCCTCCCACACAGTCCAAAAACATGTTGAGGTCAAATGGTGATTCTAAATTGTCCGTAAGTGTGAATGTGAGTGTGCTTGGTTGTCTGTCTCTAAGTGTAGCCCTGTGATAGACTGGCGACCTGTCCAGGGTGTCCCCTGCCTTCACCCTGAGTCAGCTGGGATAGACTCCACCCCCCCCGCAACCCTAGTGAGGATTAAGCGGTGTATAGATAATGGATGGACGTATAGAATGATGAAAAATCATTTTTGTTGTATTTTTTAAGAGCTTGGAAGAGCTATTTGAAGGTTAGGACTAGAATTAGGTTTAGGTTGAGGTAGGGGAATGCATTATTTCAATGAGTGCCATCACAAAGGTAAGAAAGACACGTGCATGAGCGTCTGTATACTTGAAACCTGGATCACATGCAAGTTTCGTTGCGGAGGTGGGACTTCACAGGCTTATTGTTAGAGACCAAGCATGATATGACCATGTCCACTTTGCTTACCTGAAGGAAGCTGACTTTATTTGATGCCTCCCACTTCTCAAGTTGTGAGAAACTCATTCATCCTCTCCTTCATACATCACCAGCATGCCTCTGTGTATCAGTATTATCATCACCAAGTCTGGTATTGATATAAGCAAGATAATGTCCGTTTTATTCCCTCAAACAAAAGTTTCTTTGTAAACGATTCTCTACTGTCTTCCATCGTTTTTGTTATATCTCTAACTTCCATGACACCGATCTTTTAAATCTCGGTGTTGTCGAGTGTTGTCGGTGTAGTCTGGATTCAGTTTCTACTAAAACCAAACTTTGCCTCACTCAGTTTGGGAATAATTGAGATGATGTGAGTACATGTTAGTTTAGGGTTAGAGTTAGTATTTATCATTCTTTGCTTAGCTGCTATATTTCTGTCTTGGTGATTTTATTTATTGTTTTTCCGCTCCAGTTGGGCAAATCAGTGGTGGCCAAAGTGGCCATTCCTAAAGGCACAGTGCTGCTGAGCCTGGACATGTTTGCAGTGAAGGTTGGTGAGCCAGAGGCCAGACGATATGCAGCTTGTGGGCAAGAAGGTCAAAGTTGACGTGAAAGAAGATGATAGCATCTTGTTGGACATGATAGAATAATAGATCCTCCACAAAGATTGGGAGAGAGAGAAGCAGGCAGATAGATCGACAGAACAAGAGACAGGCAGTGTTGTAAAAAGAGATCTAGAAATGAGGATGACAGGCAAGAAAAGACATGAACTGAGGATTGAGTTCATGAGTGAAATAGAAAGACAAAAAAGTTGATAGAGAAAAAGACAAGCACAGTTAAAGAATGAACTGGGTATGAACAGGTTTGAATAAGTCTTAAAATGACTCCACGTGATGCTGACAGCTGAACCAAACAGATTATGGTATCATCAAATGTGAGAACAACTAACATGCAATTCCAGGTTGTGAAGTGTGGGAAATGTTTGCACCGCCAGCCCAAACTAGGAAGTGTGTCTTGGCTGGCTCGCAAGATTTCTTTACTCAGTGGTAATATTTCTCAAACATCATCTCTGTTTGGATCAACCTGTCCCTCGCTAATTTTAATTGGACCTAATTACATGACATTAGTGAGGTGTGGCTGTATTTATTATTGTACAGGTTTTTGAGAAACGTTTTTGTCAGATGCTTTGGGGATTGCAGCTAACAGCTTCTGCTAACATTGCAGTGTCACATATGGCCCTTTCATTGTGATTTCTGAAATGTTGATTTTGAAAATAAAACCTCTTAAAAATGTTGTTTATTATAGTTTTTATTAATACAACAAATTGTTTAAAATGGGGACCACACTGCCTAATTCACAGCCTTTTATTGTGCAAACAGATCAACGTTTTGACACTATTGTGTCTCTGTCATTACCAAAATAGAAAAAGCATTATTCAATCTCAACAATGTGTACAATTGTCACTGGATAAACGGTGGAACGGGGATTTCAAATCTATTGGATGACAGGTCCAAAGGTGGGAGCTGCCATAGTCAGTGTCTGAGGGCCACACCCCCAACACCAGGTGAGAAGGACAGGAAGACATATGTGTCACAGGTAAGACACCAGACAAAACACAACAAATCAGTTGGTTCCATTATGTCAAAAGGGGAACATCATGTGAGAGATGAAACAAAGCTCCTTTGAAATTACAAGAACAAAAGGTTCAACTTTATTGCATTCTGCTGGAACATGTGCTGAGACCTCTGTTTCTACTGTGTTTGTGATGGAGCTGATTCATTTACAGGTGAGGCAGCTCCAACCAAAGGGTGGAATATTGTAATGCTTGAAAACAGCAGAAAAATAATGCCAAATATTAATAAAATAAAACACAATACAATAAAACTGTGTAAGTCACAGTCAGACATTGTAAAAGAACCATTTCCTATTTGGAAAAATACGTTTTTACAATTTTGCAGTCTGGGCCTTTTTTAAGGTGAATGTAAATTAGTACCTTTTTTCTGTCAGTTTGCAAACTATTATGTCTAATTTAACAAAACTGGGGAAATCTGTAAAACAACAGTAAATTGTTGCTGTATTTAAAAAATAAAAAATAAAGCGTTATTTTTTTTGTGTGTTTTTAGTGTAGCCGACCGATTAGAATAATTGTCACAGAGACCAAATTGTTTTAGTTCAAGTTTTTAAAAAAATAATAAATTATTTAAATTAAATTAAAATGATGTCATGTGTTAAAACATTTAGTATTTTAGGCCCAACCACTGTTTACGTGACGTTTGAGGAAAACGTCACGTGAAAAAGAGGAACTCCGGCTGCTACGTTGAACTACATCCTGAATGTGCATCATTTAAAACGCTCCGGTCGGATCCTCCACTCATGACTCACGGCTGTCCGCTGCCTCCACTTCTCCGCTAGATTATTTTCTTTCTCCGGCTTCGTTCGTTTCCTTCTCTGCCGTCAAAATGCCTTTAAAGTTTGAACTGTGTCCGGGCCGAATGATCGGCGGTACCAACCCGTGTTTCATCATCGCTGAGATCGGACAGAACCACCAGGGAGACATTGAGATTGCCAAGAAAATGATCAAAATGGCAAAGGTAATAAAAAAAAAAAAATCACACGTACGACCTCAATTTGAATGATTTCTGTCCTCTTTTGTCCTAAACAGCTTGTCAAACTTGCACACACGGACACAGAAGTGATGTGATTTTTGCTTTTCCGAACTTCATTTAAAAACTGGCCAATTTTATATGCTGCCCGACACACCTTCCTGTTCTGAATCCTTCCTATGAGTGAATTATAAACTAGTGTCTGATTTGCTTCCTGGAACGCTTGGATTCATGTTTAATGTTATATCGTGTTATGCTCTTGACAATTTGTGCAACCGTGGTCACGAAGGAACTTTTATACAAAACGGTGCTGAGCCATTTTGCAGAACGTTAAATTGCCTGATTTATGAATGGAGTTTGGCCTGACATTTTTTTTTAAAATTGTTATTATTAATTTGATGAAATCATTGGAAGCCTTAACTTAACTAAGCCTGAACTTAAGCTTTTTCTTTTTTTTTTTTAATCCCAAAATAAAATGAAGTGTTTGTCATTAATTAAGTCCTTGTAGTCAATTAAGTCAAATATGAGGTGTGTATTGTACGTCCCTTTTTGAAACCTGATTGTGTGTCTCTAACCCTAAACCTAATATCAGCGACACCTGTTTCAAGTCTATTGTTTTAAGTCTATAATGGCTGTTCAGTAAAGTAATTGGTGGGAGATTGTCAATTAATTTGTGGTCCTTGCCAGGTTTGGGAATCAGTGTAGTTACCCCTTATTTAACAGTATTGGGTAAAGATTGTTATTATAACCATAAATGTTACCTAAAATTAGGTTGTTCACTTCAAAAATGCAAATTACCCAATGACCTGAAGAATCCTTTTTTGTTGAAATTACTTTCCCGGGAAGGAGTACGGCGACCCCTGCAGGCCTATTTGTGCCATGGCTAAAGTCTATTTTTTTCTCCCCACTGGTTTGCCCACATTTTTTCATCTGTGTATGTTATCTGTGATTCATTGTTATCTGTGAATCAGACAACAATATGCTCTTTCACATTTAAGGAAGAAGAATGTCGCTTTTCTTTTTATAGAATCTCTCCAACCCCGTCAACCTCTTGGAGATCCTCTGGAGATCACCTTCTATGTTAACAATGGCTGTGACTCAGTCTCTCAGATGCTGACCCTTTTAAAATTTGACAATTTCATTTAGCAGACACTTTCATCCAAAGCGACGTACATCTGAGAGCAGATGCAACACAAGCAAGGATCTGATCAAGATTAAATAATCTAGATAAGTGCCATAAAACAAGTTCAGGTGTGTTAGGGTGTTGATGCCAAAAGCAGGCTGTGTGGGAAGTGATAGGAATTTTTTTTGTTTGTTTGTTTTGTTTTCAGTCTGTCAAGTGCAAAGGTGTTCAGTGAAAAGTTAGGTCTTTAGTCTTCAGCAGATTGAATAGAGTTTGGTAACTCATTCCACCACCAGTCATTGTTTAAACATATGCTCTTATATTCTGCTCGACAGGACTGTGGTGCAGATTGTGCCAAATTCCAGAAGAGCGAACTGGAGTACAAATTCAACAAGCGAGCCCTGGAGCGTCCCTACACATCCAAACAGTCCTGGGGGAAAACTTACGGTGAACACAAGCGCCACCTGGAGTTCAGCCATGAGCAGTACAGAGAACTGCAGAAATACGCCAAGGAGGTGGGGATCTTCTTCACCGCTTCAGGGATGGATGAGGTAAGACAGAGACTTTTGGTCCAGTTTTTTTGGGGTGCTTTGGAAGCAGAGATGTCTAACTTTGTTTTTTTGTTTTTTTCTGGCTATAGATGGCAGTGGAGTTTCTGCACGACCTCAATGTGCCTTTCTTCAAAGTGGGCTCTGGAGACACCAACAACTTCCCCTACCTGGAGAAAACTGCCAAGAAAGGTGAGATTAAACAACCTTAGCTGGGGAACTGGCTGGAGTATGAGGCTGTATTTTATTTTAAATAGTGAGTGGGTTACAATTAAATCAGTCAAGTGCGGGGAAACAATAGAATACTTTTAAAATTGTAAAAAAAAATGCCCAAAATGATGGCAAATATCTGTAAAAGCTACAGTAAAACATTGTAATTTCAAGATCACACATTTTAAGAAATAGTTCTTTGAGTTTTTATTACAGTGCACAGGCAAATTAATACTTTGTGATTATACAAGTTATTATTTATACTACTTTGTGTGATTGGGTTGCAAGAAGATTGAAGTAGCTGTTGTGATAGAAATCGAGGACCTTAGTGTATTTTCATAAAATGAAAATCTATATACAAACACCACCGATGCATGGTGTCAAAAAAAAAATTAAAAACAAAAAAAGGACATTAAGTCTGAATGTTCTTCTCTGAGTAATTTCACAGACATGTATTCCTACTATAGAAAAACATCTGACATATTCATAGACATGCCTTGACAACAGCCTTAAAGGTTTCAGCATCATCAACAACATCAGTTTGACTGTTGTTCTGCATAAGCATAGAATACACAGGGCGGTTGTAGCGTCTTGTTTTCTGCCAGTGTTCGACATTGTGTTAAACGGACTGACGCCCTCTGGTCTGTGTCAGGGCGTCCCATGGTGGTGTCCAGCGGGATGCAGTCCATGGAGACGATGCGTCGCGTCTACAAGACGGTGAAGCAGCACAACGAGAACTTTGCCATCCTGCAGTGTACCAGCGCGTATCCTCTGGAGGCCGAAGACGTCAACCTCAGAGTGATCACGGTGAACAGAACAGAATATCACTCCTATAGAAAAACAAAAACAATAGATTAAAGACAAGTTTAGTTGTCAGATTGTGTCACCCCATTAACACAAACACTATTTTTTTAAAAATTGCATTTGGGGTTTGGTGGTCATGAAATATGATCCATGTTTGCAGTGGGTCCTAATTTTAAATATTACTCACTATAAGGGGATAGAAGCACTTTGTTAGTCCTTCTGAAGGAAACAGACACAGATTTCCTCATGTGTTCTAAATACTACTCTTTTCCTGTAAAACGATATTCAAAGTTAAAAACACAATATGTAATTTTATAATATATAGTTTTTTGACTTTATCAAATTAAATGTTCATGTTCTTTTACACAAGATAAGACTGCAATAATGTGTCATGCATGTAACTGATATAAAGGAAGAGTGTGATGGGACACGGACCACCCTACCCCAAGTCCCATTTGGTTTCACCGTATAAATATACCAATTGGAATAATGTTTAGTTAAAATGAAGTGATCAGAGAATCAGAGAATCAGAGAATTATGAATTAACTTTTAAAGTACTGATTTAGACTGTACTTGGAGCAAAAGCTGCAATTTGTGGAAAAGAAAGATGACTTTTAAATGACATTAATTAAGAAAAAGCAAGTTAACGCTTTGCCATTATAGTTGTTTCCCGCAAGGACTTCCAAGTCGGGTGTCCTTGTATGTAAAATATGTTTGTAGGATGAGGGTTAAAGCTATAAATCAACACTTCAGGAGTTACTGGTGTTGTTACTGTTGAACAAAACCAACCAGCAGCGGGCTGGAGCCTCTTTGCAAGAACCTGATTGAATTTCTTTAGGGATGATGCTTATGTCACCCACTTGTCGACCGCAGGAATACCAGAAGGAGTTTCCAGATATTCCCATTGGTTATTCTGGCCATGAGTCTGGAATCAGCATTTCAGTGGCGGCTGTAGCTCTGGGGGCGAAGGTCATCGAGCGTCACGTAACCCTGGACAAGACGTGGAAAGGAAGCGACCACGAAGCCTCTCTGGTGCCGTCTGAACTGATCGAGCTGGTTCGCTCAATCCGATTGGTGGAGAGGGCGCTGGGCAGCGGCATTAAGAAGATGTTACCCTGCGAGAAGCCGTGCCATGACAAGGTGAGTTAAAAAAAATCACAAAAACACCTCAACAGTTGGTTCAATGGTCAGTTTTTACCGTTTGGCATAACTGAAACATTTGAGCGTTACTTTGCTTAAGTTTTTCCAACTTTGTGCTACGAGAGCAATAATAATAATATCGCTCCTCTTTGCTCTTTTATCTCCAGCTGGGAAAGTCAGTGGTGGCCAAGGTAAAGATCCCCAAAGGAACAGTCCTGACTGCGGACATGTTGGCGGTGAAGGTGGCGGAGCCGATGGGCGTCGCCGCTGAGGACATCTTCCAGCTGGTCGGGAAAACCGTGACAGAAGACGTGGAGGAGGACGAGAGCGTCACACCCGAGGTGGTGGACAGCTACGGCAAGAAGGCCAAGTGCTGAGAGTGGAGGAGAGGTTTGAAACCGGTAAAGACAAGCGGAGAAGTTTAATTAATTCCGATGGCGATTGATAATAATGATGATAATTGGGAAGGAGCTCAAGATGACTCATGCAGGATGGTGTGTACTTCAACAAGGCATGTGAGCGTGACAGCGTAAATGTTATCACAGCCTCTGTGCCGTGATAGCTCATTTATTATCCTAAGTTCTTGTTGGCCAAAACATTTTCACGATTTCTAAGAGCTGCCTTAACATAAAATGCAAACTTTCTGGCAAACCGTCCTGTTGACAAATGCAGAGGCTCAATAGTAGTTTCAGCTCTGTGGTCAGAATCGGTGCAATGATTGTTACTGTAAACTGAACATACCTTTGTCTGTGAAGATTCTCAGCCATCCAGGTCATGGTTATTCCCGTAGATTAATTGTAGCAACTTGAAGACGTTTCACCTCTCATCCAAGAGGCTTCATCAGTACTCACTGACTAGTTGGGAGTTCCATCAGTCAGAACTGATGAAGCTTCTTGGATGAGAGGTGAAACATCTTCAAGGAACTCAAGCAAGTCCAGTTGCTATGATTTATCTACGAGAATGAACATACCATGCCTTTCAATACAGTTCTAACCTGCAGTAGAGAGATTAAATGAATATTGACTACATGGAGGTGAAGCTGCTATTGGTTGTCTCATCACAAAAAGCGGTGCCAGAAAGGGCTCATTCAGCTTCTTTGAGAGAAGCAAATTATGACACATGGGGTCAATTAAATATGATCAGATTCAACTGTAAGAGCAAATCTGCATCAGGTTTAACAAAATTCTATGTATGCCTTATTTCTGTGGATGCGGCTTAACGCCTCACAATTGATGTTTTTTGTCGCCAACTCCTCCTGCTTCAGTTGTAGCACCGACAACATCCTCCAATCGTGACTTCAACCTGAAGGACGTTAGTTTACACGTGAAAATGTTCGTATCTGTTGAGATCTGTGATGTTCTGAAAGGAAGAAGCCTCCAAATAAAATAATGCCCAAATGTTGATGTTGTTCTTTGCTCCAGTCGGTTCGCTCTGTGTACGCCACATGCATGGAAGCGCTCGCTCATGACAGGTTGAGTGTTTGTAGTTATGTTATTATAATCTCTCTGTCTTGGTGAATACACATTATTTTAGATTTGATGTATCAGATGTGGGCTACAAGGTGGTTAGCACCATTGCCT